CCGCTCTGATGTAAGCCTTCTTACAGGCCTTGGAAGCAATATTGTAGGCTGCTTTTAGTGAATCGACCCCGGGATCCTTAAGAGCGCGGCCTCTGATCCAAGCACGATATGCCGCTTGCTTACGCGAAGCAGCTTCAGCACAGTCGTGATTGAACCAGAGGTTACGTGTGCCCTTACTGATGAGATTGGAATGAGGAATATAGTATTCCATACCCATTACAGTCTCCTCAGTAATAGTAATGGCGCTGGCCGATAGGTCCTTGTCACTTAAGCAGCGCTGCTTCCAAGGGACGGACGCAAAGTAGTCACGCATACCGTCCCAATCTGCCGACCCATAATGCCAAATCCGGCGTTTTACCACCGTTGGACGCGGAGGCAGATATCAGGCAGTGATCTGAAGAGCCCAGGGGGGCTCCTACCACATCCTGATAGCCCTGTGGATAGGTCGTGAGCAGAAGGTCCAGTAATGAAGGCGCTTGACTTGAAATATCTGGAATCCTAGTGGGCTGATCGACCAGTTGCTTCAAGTCTTGCGTGAGAGCGAACGCGTGAGCAGAGATCCCTGCATGGTCAGTTTTCGAGGAACTTAACCTCAAATTGTGGTGAGCATTAAAGTCCCCCAAAAACACCAATTCTGCATTGGGAAATTGCTCCTGCGCGTCATCTGCTGCCCGACTAAGATGTTCGAAAAGTCGAGTTGTCTCAACATCGCCAGTGTGGGATCTGTAGAGGCACACGAAGACTCTGGCCTGGGGACCAGAGTCGACGTGTACTCCCAACATGGAGAAGGAAGGATCTTCCAAGCAGCGGAGACGGCGACAGCAAACATCCGCCCGAACATACAGGCATACACCGGCTTTCGCTTTGAAGGACTCTTCAAGCACGTAGCCGGGATAGTTAAGGTAGTCTGCGTCAGCAGGCGGAAGTATTTGTGTCTCCGTCAGGAACAACAATGCTGGCCGTGCTGTCTCAAGATGGTGGTGTACAGCATTGAGGTTAGAGTGGAGTCCACGTATGTTGCAGAACTCGACCTCAAACAGCGTTGAAGGCGTGGGGGTGTGCACCGCTGTACGTCCAAACTTTGTTTTGAGAGCTGCCATTATGGAAGTGATAAAGAGACGTGAAACGAGTGGACGTTGTCGCGACAAGACCGGGCAAATTAGGGAGGCATGTTTCCCCGAATAATTGATTGCAGAGGATATACGCCGACCCGTCGGACGGAAGGGCCCCCTCACCCCCCCGGAAGTGGCCGCCGGGACCCCACGCCCCGGTCACCAACCGGCACGACGGTCCACCCCGAGATTATGCGTGACGTGATGGGGCAGCCTCGCGAACTGGTTAGGAACGCTCGGGCCCCTGTACTGTGCCACGGGCGGCCAGCGGGACAGCCGTTTCTACGGGTCTCCCTGGCCGGCGGGTCGATGCAGTCCTCCCGGCATCGGTTCGACGGATGCCTCGCCCTGGACCGAATCCGTCGCGATAACCTCCACTCGAGCCCTTGTATTTTTAGGTTGTAAGCTGGCTGACCCCGAAACGCGCGAGAAGCACTTCACGGGTTTTTCACCATGCGCACGGTGGTAACAAACCAGGCGGGTGTTAGTTACCCTACCACCAGCATAGCGGATGGAAGCTCCGATATCCCTTAGTCGCCTCTTACGGCACCCACGAGAAGAGAAGGGGCGGTGAGTTGTATTCTTTCTCCGTCACCGCAAGGATAGGATAGATATTTGTACCAACATACATCAAACCTGTTTAGCAATTTAGACTTGAATACTTAACAGACAGAGAAATATAATTACGTACTTTTGTATTTATTTATATCCTCAATAATATGGATCGTATCCCATAATCGTTCTCCTTGTCAAAGTAACTTATTTTAGTACTATTTTTTTGAGATGCTGGACCGATTTCAATTAAATAGTTGATAATATATTAATTATGGTACAATTAGATATTGAACATATTATTATCTACTAGTCTCTTATACCTACGCACGCCTAGACAAGGCCTAAAGTTAGGCTATTACAAACAACCATCGTCTTACCCGCGGTTCGAATTCCCGCCCCAATGGACTTCTGCTAACGAAAAATATATGAACTTTTAAATGAACTATTGTATTCTTTAAATGGATTTTTGTATAGTATCACCGTAAGAGCAACGTATTTGGAATGGATGCATCTTTGTGTAGATAAAAAGCTCAACTCTAACAATAACAAATTCTGATGTCATGTATGGCATTCGTAAAAATTTGGAATAGTCACGCAAGCTAATGTAGTGTTTACATTTGTGATCAGGAAGTTTATAAATGCGGCCTCATTCCAAAGTGATATAGATAGATACGATAGACCTACGAATATGAGAAATATAATACTTACACTCCCTCTGTATTTCTGTCTGTTACACTTTCAAGCCTAAGCCGCTGAACTTGAATATTGAATTTTGGTTTTAAAATAAGGAAAAACTAACCTTGGCCCTATTATCCTTTATATATTTTTATAGTAGACCGTTGGGCTACAGGAATAAATGGTGAAGTCTATGCAAATATACATAAAAATAAGCTAAGCTGACTTTCTTATTTATTATAAATTCCACGCGTTTTCAATAGCTATTATCATGTGACTTTTCTTAGAGTAGGTGTACATTTAAAAGACATTTTAAAATATTATACATTTTTTTAATCATAAGAATGTTTTAATATTTAAATGAGTTATGAAAATATATCGTTACCTATTATTATTAGAAGCTCTACGATAGATCAATGTGTAGGGTCCTAGATATCTGATATTATGTCGAATCATAAGTCGAGCTATGTAGGAAACCCAATTAACAAAGATCTTATAAGTGTTTTCCAAACGATACCGCGCGCAAAAGTTATAGTGCTCGTTGTTCTGTTTCTGTCATCGTCACTGCTTCTGATTTATTTTAAACATTCATATTGTTACATTATATACACATTGATTATAGTAGTAATAACATAATTCATACTAAACCATTGGGAATAAACGAAATACCTTAACCAGAAAGTAAATACTTATTTAAATTCATTAACTCTGATTTGTTTTAAACGTTCACATTGTAACATACTTACTAATACACAAAGTGTGTCTTAATACACAAACACCTTGCTTCTACTGATATAATAAATGTTAAAATTTGTATTTTTGTTACTCGATCACGTTAAAACTACAGATTTAGCAGTTTGGATTGAGACAGGATGCTTTTTATTCCCGTCAAATTTCGTGTGGGATTCTCTAAAAATTAAAGTTAACGCGGACGAAATCACGGGCGACCGCTAGTAGTAATAATGATTTATATTAAACCACCTGGAGTAAACGGTATACTTACTTATCTAAACTAATTAAATAAATACTTATTTAAACTCACTAACTAGACATTACGATAACTCGCGACCACAATTCTGAATATTAAATTGAGTTAAGAAATATGTTTTTTCGTAATTTGATAAAGCTTTATTTTTTATTATATTAATAAAATTCCAAATTAATTAGAGCCAAAACCAAAATTTTTTTTGTTGTAATTCCTGTAACTTTGTTCAAGGTTTCATTAATAATGGTGCCCCTAAATGATTTAAGTAAATAATTTACTTATAATACCAACCAATATTTCTTTTTTCAGTCACAGTTATGAAATTTGAAGATTACGCGACATGTTTGTAATCTGATCTTAAAACTCCCTTTCCATATTTAGAGTAATATTAAAATGCAAGTCTGAAAGCTTTAATTCGGCGACGTGTGCACACCTCTTTACTTGGAATGGGTACATGTGGTGTCGACGGGGTCGTGGCTCGTGCCATACCGTGCCAGCCCCATCGCGCGATAAAGGTCTAAACTTTGACACGACCACCTAGCCCAAACTAAGCCACACGCGGTGTCGGCTTGGCCCGCTCGCTCTACGAAAGTGCCGTCGAAAACGGTCCCCGAAAACCGTACAAACCAACCCGCGCATCGGTGAGATTAATTTTACTCATAAAATCTTAACGTTTCATCTTTTGTTTAGTGCTGTGTGTAGTATACTGCAATTTAATACCACTTTAGTGCTCTATTGACAGTCACCAATCGACCGTTCATTGGCCATTTTCCAAGACTGTTATTACTGAATTACACACTCTCGTAAGTTTCAAAATACGTGTAACATACATTATGTTATGCAATAATGTGTGTGAGTATTGATATTTCAACTGCACTCACGCCCCAGATGCACTGCTCTGATTTGCCATCTGTAGAATAAATTCGCCTACATTATTATCAGTAATGCAGACTTATATTTATAAGTAAATATTAATACAATGTTTCCAACTCTCCTCCTCCGTGGCCGAGTGGTTTGTACGCCGGGTTTCATGGCGTCGCCGACTCGAGAGGTCCCGGGTTCGAATCCCGGTGGGGGCAGATGTTTGTGTGATGAACACGAGCATTTGTACTCTAGTCATGGATGTTTAATATGTATACTAATATATGTAAAGTATATGTATTCTATCCGTTACCCTAGTATCCCATAACACAAGCCTTATAGTGCTTACTTTGGGGCTAGGCTAATTGGTGTGAGTGTTGGAAATATTTATTATAACTCTTCATAATTTTACAATAGTATGGTACCGTTTAGAAATTGCTACAGCTATGTGTGTATATTGTAACCATTCCACCTACTCAAATATTCTTCTTATATTCTCCAATAATAATTACGATCGAGGTTTTTTAGGCTGTGATGTATTTTGATACATCTATCTTTTGAGATATTGTTGATTATTCTCCCATGGTTAATAGATTCATGAAACCTTAAACAGGGTTTTGTTGTAAGGTCAACACAGTCACAGCTAACTAAAAAATGTAAATAGATTTTGCGTTAAATCAAATTTTAAACTTACTAAAATAACCTCTAATGTGATAAAATATACACTTTCGATCCCTATTTTTCTGATATTGCCATGTGATAACAAAGCGGTTTTTAAAATAATGTATTTTATAAGTTTGGATGGTCCACAGCTTCGCCCACCCGCATGTCCGGGCGAGGCTCGAGAAGCACATGGGCTCCAACCTGGTCAAGCTGACAGACAAGAGCTACATGACTGAGCTGGAGGAGCGGATCCGGGCCGTCAATGAAGAGAACCTCAACAAGAGGATCTCTAGTAGGGTCGTGAGTACAACATATCTTTTATCACAGCTTCACCCACCCACGTATCCAGGGCTCGGTAGCGCAAAGGCTCTGGGGTTAAGCCGATGAACATGAACTACATAATCCTTGTTGAAGGACTTCAACGATCGCAACTTCAAAAAAGACTCAACAAATCTCCCGTATGGTCGTGTGTACAATATATTTATCATACTTGAATAACAAAAAATCATCGTCCACGTATGCGGGCATAAAAATGGAATGGAAAAGCACAATAGCTCTGGGCAAGCTGACGGCGTAAACTTCATGACGCTTGTTGAAGGAAAGGACCCGCGCCCTCAATGAAGAGATCCTCAACAAAAGTGACTCCAGTAGAGTGTCGTGAGTACACATGGGCTTTGATCTTACTGACAGACCTAAGCCATATGATCCTTGACAAGGAGGAGAACGATCAAGATACTTTGTTCCTTTTAATCACAAATACAACAATATTGTAAGAAATAATATTAAAAATATATGATTATATTTGTTTCTTAGGTTTTCACACACATCACTCATTAAATAAAACAAGTTTCGACGGGTTAGATGCACTAATTTTATTCATTTATTGACGTTATCGATGTTATATAAGTATATATATAAGTATGATAATGTTAAACTGAAAAAAAATCATCAATCACTCAAAGAGTACTTGCATTTTATTTTATTTATAATAAATTATAAATATAAAAAAGCAATAAATTTTCATGAAATTTCATCATCCGCGTTTAAGCGAATAAAAGAAGAGGAAATTAATATATTGGAAATTATTTATTGTTTATATTCCACCTTATTAATTAATTCTTTATTCGCTGTGATCAATCACAATTACATATTGCCGATAGTGTCAACGTCTTTAATGTACAAATGTGTCTTACTTTGTTCGGGTTAATGGAACTCTTTCATTCAAGGTAAACACTTATTATGTTTAATTCTTTTATGGACTACCGAGCTAGTTCAACCATTTATCATTTTATGTCTAGAACTTCAATATCAGTAGTTTAACTTGACAAGAAAGTAATCACGGAAACTACATTTCCATGAAAATATCTTACAATTAATGCATGTTGTATCGTGAAATAGTTTTCATACCTTAACTGACACAATACTATCCTGGCAGACAGTTTAATGACTGTAAGCTTCGATCAATAAATTTAATGACTGTAACCAAGTGTAATTTGAAATGGTTAACATTTATAAAAAAAAAACAAATGCAATTACGTAAATTTTAAAAGCTTCGTAATGATTATCTGAATTCATTATAAATTCCGTTCCCGCATTTTCGTCCTATCCCTTTTGTTTTATTTACAAAAAAGTCTATTCTACCTTCCAGGGTGGTGGCGATATCACGATACGATTGTACAATATGTTCATACAATTGTCAACTCTGATAACATTATTTCCAACGACGAGTTTTTAAAATAGCTTCACTAATTATTACTGAGTAAACTTTAGTTACAATCAATTTACTTTTTAATTATAATTGTGTTCAAAGTTATAATAATAAACTTAGAATATTTTCAAGTCTAATAGTAATTATATGAAATCGAAAAAAAAATACCTACCTATTCTTCCTGATAACGTAATTTCCGCCACTATATTTTTGACAATGAGTAATATTTGTTACGGCCTGATGTCTCTTATTTACCTACAAATGTACAATCATGGCCTCTTCTGCTTACATAGTCCAACTTTTTGTACATAATTTGTTTAAAAGAATTCACTCCACACCTTCTTTTACGTCTCCAGCTCGATGAAATGGAGAGGTTGAAGCGACTCATTCTAGTGGGCAAGACACCACTCAAAGAGTGCCCACCAGAGCTGTTCCATCACCCAGTATTCGTGTTTTGGCGCATGGTCAACAGAGAGGTGGCTCGAGCTTCCAAGAAAAGAGCTGACGCCTACTACAGGAAACTCAAGGCTTCGCAACGATTCGATCAGGTGTATATTCGTTTGTTCTTGGCAAAAAGAATAATTTTATATGTGGAATTCTCTTTATGAGCTTATTTAAATCTATATAACCATCATCCTAGTAATAACTTTACAGTTTAAGCTCGACCATCAGTATTACGTGCTACTCCTCGTTTACACCAAGAAACAAGTCATATACTATATACTAGTTTTACACAGAACTTATAGAATAATTGTTGTTACTGTTTAAAACATTCTTTCGTTTACACTGCAAGACAACTAGTATTTTTACATATATATGTATAATAAATCACTTATTTACTTACATATTTTGTTTATCCAACAAGTTTAATGCAAATATTGTATAGTACATATTTTATACATGTATGTAAATGTGAACAAAAAATGAAGACAGTGTAAAATTTCTTAAATACATGTCTTATACCTTGGTGTAAGCGAGGGTAACAAACAGGAATGAAGTGATGTTTGTTCACATATATGTATAAGGGTACTCAGGATTGGCGATGGAGTTGAGGTAGACAACGCGCAAATGATGCCCTAGCTCTGCCCCTAGCATGAACACCGCAAGATGATATATGTATAACGCGTTTTTATCACGCTCAATTGCCAAACTTCTATGGAGTTTGACAGTTAGACGCGATAAAAAACGTGATATAATGTAAATTGTGGTGCTCATGCTAGTACTGGTAACGCTAGTGTTTTACAGGCTATGCTACTACGATTAAGGGTTTACGATAAATGCTTGTTTGCCACCCTTCGCACATAAAAAATATACTGATCGCCGTATGCATATACCATTACTTAGTGGATACTCCATTTCCATCGTATAGAATGAATCTTATCTTCTCTTTCTTACACTTACAAGTTGACAGTTTAGTGTGACTGTTACAATTCAATAAAAATGACAAAATTCACAGTGTTGTTACCTAAATAACTCTAAACTTCACTGAGTTGTTCACAACAAGTTATAATATTCCGCAGAGCCAGCCTGTTGCGCCAGCTATAATTTTATTGTTCCGTGAGCTTCTTCAGTATTTTATAAACCTGTTCTTCAGTTACTTTGTTAGGCGTTATTTTATGGTAAATCGAAACTCCACACTACTAACAATACTATACCAATAAAGAAATGGTGACAAATGTTAAATAATTTGTTGGTGAAATGGTTGCATCTATGGTTTAAAACTGGAAAGCGTCATAAAAGCGTTGCCATCGTGAATTAACGTAAAAAAATGCATTTAAAAAATTGGCTTGAGCTTATTAAGTTCCTAATTATAATACAAGTACCCCAAGCATGAACTTTGACAGATCCGTAATCGTATCGCCGCCAAAGTTCGTGCTTGAGGAACCGAACTTTAATTAAAGCGCTAATCCATAAAAAAAATAAGTAAAACAAAACTTTAGAATGCAAATTAATACTACGGCAGCCATCATTTATAACGATAATTCAATAGCAAGGTAAATTCCCAGCACTTAACACTAAAGAATACGGCAACAAAACATAACCGAAACTCAAAATTTTCCACCCATAGTCTCTGGATGAAGAGTCCGAGTCGGAAGTGGTTGAAGAAGAATCTGAACAGTTGACCTCCGAACAGCTCCTGGCAAGATGTCAACAAGAACTCGAAGAACAAAAGCAGCTGGACATAGAACGGGGCGTGCGATTCACCGACGAGCAATTCTCGCAGCTGAAGTATGAAACCAACGACGTCAAAATGCTTAAAAACCTCACGGTCAGTACTGTTAGTTAGTTCATCGGTTTTCATCATCATGAGCCTATTAATGTCCCCACAGCAGGGGCACAGGCGGATTGTGTACGCGGAAGAATCCCTAAACGGGGATCTCGCAGCTTCGCACTAAGCAGGTTAGAGGGGGGAGAGCAGGTCAGATTATTCGCAGGGTTTTTAGCGGATAGTACGCCGTTAAGCGTGCTCGTAAATGGCGCGGGTTACTTTGGGGGTTAGCCTCATCGTGCCCGTGACGTTTGAGAGTGCTGGGTGTGGCCGTGAGGTCCGTTCGTCGGTGTGCCTCTTATAGGCGCCGACGTAGGTAAAAATAGGTTTTGCCTGCGTAAAAAATAAAAAGGGGCACATGCGAATTGGTGGGTACTACGATTGAAGATGCTGCGGGGAAGCTTAAGATGCCTTCCGGAGCAAGGAGGAGAATGACCAATGACCGACCATTGCGAACGAAAGTTACTTTACTTTCACGAGCGCACTAACCACCTGCGCCATCGAGCTCCTCAATCACCTCGTTCATCAGGTATCATCTCAGGTATAATTTTAACTAGAAATATATTTTTTTCAGGTTTAATAGTCACGATATTCATAGTAAACTATCATAACGTAGGCTTATCAGGGTGTCGACTCTGTATTGGTTAATTTCAATGTCATTGCATATTGAGACAATTCTTGTTATTAAAGCACAAAATAGCAAGGGCATATATATGACGTCTTAGGTGCAAATAATCTTGTTATTTTGTGTTTAAGTAAAAAGAACTGTATCAAAAATCAATGCGATTAAAACTCAATTGAGACACGATTGTAAACATAGCAGAATTGACACCCAGAGGTTGAGAAAACATGAATTTGCGACTGTCGTGCGAATCCGGGGTGTTTGATAGTATATGATATCTTAACATGTAACAAAAAAAATAGAAAATATAGATTTTCGGGGTGGAGAGGGTCAGGGTAACCCGGAAATCAGACATTTCGAAAATTGGATGTGATATTAAATTTATATTCAGGAAAAAAAGATATTTTAGGTGACTCACAATAATTAATTAAATAAAATCTTTCATTTATTTACAAACAGTTCAATAAGAGAGAACAACATAGCATGAAGTAGGTTTTTCTTAAAGTAACTTTTCTCTATTTTAGAGAAAAGTTACTTAAACCCACTTTGATCTATATAAAGAAATTAAAATAGGTAAAACTTATATAAAATTTTACTTACTGCTTGTATAAATAAAGTAACATAATCTTGGTGATGTAATGTAATAAATTCATGACACCTAGAAAACCTCTGCCACGTGGGGCTAGTGAACCAGGGTAACTTATGAGTGAATCATGTAATAGGTTAAAACGTCCCGTGCAATCTATATATTCTATCTACCTACTTCTTGGTAAATATAAGGTTAAATTTAATGCCCCCGGTTCATTATGAGTGAGATAATGCGCTGATATATTTATTTAAATTAAGTTATTACGTTATCTAGGTACTAAGTCCCTACGACGAAACCGGAAAAATCGGGTTTTATCGCTGTGTCTCGGGCTTCTTTATTCATATACCTACTATTGATAGTTACTAAGTAGGTACTTTGAATGAAACACTTGTTTTAGATACCAACTTTATGAACCCTTATTGCTGACAGTTTTTATTATACGAGTAATTAATTTCTTTAGATAGAGCCCATTTACATAACTCTATAATAAAAATACCGATTCAATATAATGATACTATTATTTTTAATAAGTAAAAGATAACGATACATTCACCGAATGGATTTTTTTTCTCGTTAGAAATATTAGTATCATTATTATAAAATAATACATATATTTGAATATATTTCGATTGTTTAAATACCACCCAATTAATAAATAAAAAAGTTTTATTTATTTTTGTAATATAACCTGTTTTTCTATAATGCCTCTATTTAACTATACCAAAATTCATCCAAATTAGCTTAGTGGTCCAAGCGCGAAAAGGTAACGGGTAGACCATTTCGCATTAATAATATTAGAATGGCTATATCATAAGCTAGCGTTGACTATTTTGTGTGAATATGTAGTTAGAACAATTTATTTGTGCAATAGATAATAATTAACTATGTTCTTCTCCAAGATCTCTAATCATTTATTTATGCCAAAATTCGTCCAAATTAGCTTAGAGATCTGAGCGTGCAAGGTAAAAAAGGTAGTTCGATAGCTAATTTCGCTATAATGAAATGGATAAACCATCACCACGTTGGCTATTTTGTGGGAATATGTACCTAGTACTTAGGAGTAATACGACATACTGTTTTCTCGAAGTACACTTTGATGCACCAGTTGTGGATCCTATCGTTTGTTTACATACAAGCCAGCGACGGCTCGTGACCAACCAGTGCGAACTAGATAAATCTGGCCGGGCTGACCCTTCGGCTTTTAGGTGGCTTGCGGTTGTCGATCGCTGCCCGGACCTGCTTGCACTCACAATCCGTGTACACAAAACTTCGTATCATTATAGCAACACGTCGCACTCTAATGGTATCTGTTTATATTTTTCATTAAAATTTTCTATATACTATTGAGTGTTCATTTTATATAATTTCTGTATACCAATTACCTATTAACGATTATGTGCTGTTTTGCAAAATAATTAAAAATAATCCTTATCTACTTTCGATTTGAAGAAGATCGTGGTAAAAGGGAAAGTGACAAAATGTGCCCCTCTGGCTTTTCAGAGAGTCATGTCACCAGACTAATAAAATATTTGTTAGTGTAAACATTTAATCAAACTTCTATGTAGAAAGTATGAAATTGAATAGTATATTGGCTTTCATGTAAATTTTCATTACTTTATACGATAGTGCCCTTACCTTTAGGAAAGCAGCGTAGGTACCTATTAAAATCGATTAAAGAAAACCGATAATATAAACTCATTTATATCATGCAGGTATTTTGGTAGTAACAAAATAACATTTGAAATACTAAAAACACTACAAAACTATCGCAAACTCCATTTCTATGAACCGCAAAAGTAACAGGAAATAAGCACTATATTTTAGTTAAAAGATTAAAATTTGTATGTTATTACATTAGTTAAGCTACAACGACACATTTCTGTATTCAAAGGACTGAGTTCGCTGATATTCTTGATAATGTGTTAACCTTAGATCTCTATTATCTTCACTCAGAACTGACGATAGGCGAATAAACAATTATATTTTTATATGAGAAATGAAAGCCCGATTATAACGATACTTTTGAATATTTCACTCAACGATCCGTGCCTTATAAATATGTAAGTATAAATATATCAGTATAGATACTAACTTTTCTAAGTGAGCTTGTATTCTTACGTAAAGCTTTTCGTGCCTACTATTGTATGCAAAAGATGCAATATTTAAATAAATTAAAATTGTTAAGGTCGAGCAAATTATGCCATTTATTATACTAACATATCTATGGACTCTATCTGAAAATAAACGATTTTTATTTATTTATATACATATATATTAAAGTAAAAACCCTATACTATTTATTAATTTTACACATTCCGCAAAAAATCTACCTACCTAATACGGATTATGGGATCAAACCTTAGATTAAAACGAAAATGGAAGATACAGCTCAAAAGTGAACCGCTTAAGTTGTGGTGAATGACCACAATTCGCTTTAGATGCCCATTCCAAACACGATGCACTCAATACAACAATATTGCATATATTCTGTGCTATAAAGATAAAACAATGCCTTGCTTATAAAAGCATCTTAAAGAACACAAATAATTCAAGATCAAATTACAAATGCGTCTTTTCATTCGTAAAACTATATAATCATTCTTTTTAGAGAGAATTGAAAACGCAGTCGGCTGCTAAGCGACGCGGACACGCGCCGTTTCACTCGCACTGCGTTGAAGCATACAGTTCTGTCTCGTATCTTTCCTTTTTGTTTTAATCTAAGGATGCAAATCGCTTAGGGGCGGACAGGTTACGTAGCATTAAAAATGAGTAAACATTAAAGATGGAGTAAAAATCTTAAAAAAATCCCTCCTTTGTTTTATAATTTTATTTAATTTTTCGTTTCAGTGGCTATAGAAATATATAATTTACTTGCTGACCCGGCGAACTTCGTACCGCCTTAGCGTAGCTTTGATGCACTACTTTATTTTGTATAGCTGACCTATCTTATGTATGAGTACCTATTCAATTTTAACTGGAATCTATAATATCCTCCATATAAAAATGAATCCTTATTGCCCTGGTCTCGCCATACCTGAGGACTTTACTATTTTTTATTAAATAAAAAACAACATATATATTTTCATAATAGTGTTTATTCCATAGGGTTTAATTTCACTCATATTTTTACAAATCGCTATGCCGTATTTCGAGTTCTGCGGCCTAAGTTTGTACGTCTGGTTGGTGGCATTGTTAAAAACGAAAATCCAACTGAAAATATATTTTGTGTATAACCATGTAAAATTGTAATATTGTGTAGTCACCAAAAGTTACCAAAAATCGATATGAAGTGAAGTGAACTTACCGTGATTAACAAACACTTATTAGCAAACAAAAAACTTCTTAGTCTTTAAAACAAAACGAACTTTATCAAAAACTTAATAAAATTATTGTTAGCGCGGTTATGGATGTGTTGTCACAGATTACCACAGATTTTTTTGTTTTAAATTGAATGACGTCGACATTTGTCAGCGCGGTTATCGATGTGGTGTCACAGATTACCACAGATTTTTTGTTTTAAATTGAATGACGTTGACATTCGTTACGTTATATTTTTCAATCTTTCTGAGAGATTTTCTTTATATTTTTTTCCGTAAGAACCTTATGCAGAGTATTAGAAAACTACAAAAAAAATCAGCCAAATCGGTCAAGCCGTTTTCATGTTATGTCGTGACAACGGAAAACGGGTTTCATTTATATATATATATATAGATGAAAATTTTAATTTTACGTTAAGAAACAGACGGACGACATAAGGTTGAGTTGTCACCGTTTGGGTATGGAACCCTAAAATTTGTTTTTATATAATAAGCAATTAAATCCACCTTACCTGATATATACAAAACAAGAATCCTACCCTAAGGGTGGGGAAATAGCGGTGATTGTTCACTCACAGATTTTGATGGCGAGTTGTACCTAGTCAGGTCATAAATTCTGTCACATGTTAAGCATAAAATAATTGAAACAAGTTTATTCATTATTTAACCATTTATATACCAAAATGAACTTAACAAAACATAGATTCTTATGACAATAAAGTTTATTCAAATTGACCTCCGTGATTTTGAATACAGGCCTTCAATCTGCGCGGTCAGTCGTCTATCGCAGCACGAACGAGGTCCATGTCAATATCGGCGACTGCCTTAATCAAGGATGTCTTGAGTGACTCCAAATTGGGATGAGGCTTTGAGCACGCCTTTTCTTCCAAGTGTTGCCATATCTTATAATCTAACGGACTCAAATCTGGACTGGAGGAGGGCCAGTCTTCGTGCCGGATGAAGTCGATTTCACGCACCGCCAGCCAGTCGCCAGGCTCTTTGCTCTATGAGCTGGCGCTGAATCTTGTTGGAATACCCTGTGCCTCTTATTGAACATGGTATGGGAAACAGGTTCCACAAGGTTCGTCAGGACTGTATTTTGATACACAAGTGCATTCGTTTTTACACCTTCCTCACAAAAATGTGAGAAAGGTGTAACCTCTGTTAAGCCCCATTAAGAAACTCCCAACCATACCATGAGCGAGGATGGAAAATGACCTCTTTGGACACGCGGAATACGGTTACTCGCTTCTTCACTACTGTGTGCGTACACCTTATCATTTTGTTTGTTGTAGCTCTCTTCTACGGTAAATTTTTTTTCATCCGAAAAAAAGAATTTCCCGATATTTGTTTCCCGCGTACTGCTTCAACAAAGCGCGGCGTCTCTTCAGTCTCAGGTCCATTAGACGAGCATTCAAACGATGTCCTGTTTTTCTTCGATATGCCCGAAGCCCTAAGTCTTCATTTAACACCCTTTTCACCGTGGTTCTGCATAACCCCATCTGAAGAGCCAACAGTTTATGCTTACGTTTGGGATTTCTTTGAATTCGCGCCTTCACAGCTTTTATCACTGCTGGAGTCCTAACAGACCGAGGGCGACCACTTCTTGACCTGTCATCTACACTAGATTCTTCATTGTATCGTTTGATGGTACGATAAACCAATCTTTTGGTTATATTCAAATTTTTCAGTATGCCAAAAATTTGAATTGGCGCGTAACCGCAACGATGCAACGCAATAACTCCAACACGGTCTTCTTTAAGAGTCCACTCCATATTTAAAAATGAGTAAAATTCTAAAAAGTATACATTTTTATTTTCATGAACAATTCGAAATTCGAATTCAATAAACTTTTTTGTGGCCAGCATTCTAAAAGAAAAGTTTTTACTGGTGACAATACTTATGACCTGACTGTGTATATTACAAAAAATATAAAATGAAAACTATTTAACAAAAAAAACTTATTCAACCACCGAAAAGCAAAAAATAATAAATCCTTTTATTTTTTGCTTTTCGGCTGTTTAATTTTTTTGTTAATAAGTTTTTATTGTAATTTTTACTAGTTTTGTGTTAGAAAGCTTAACTCAAGAAAAAAAACTTTCTACTTTATGTATTGTTTCAGACTGTAGAAGAATTGTACTCCCTGGCGGACAAGATCATTGGATCGAAACGTCTTTAGCTTCACGTCAATTAGGTACTCAAGTAGATTGTTGTTCGTAATACATTATAGTTCATTCACCCACAATTCCCAATCCTCCAGCCAAGGACAACAACAACAACAGTAGAAGAATATTGTATAATAACCAATAATTGAATTTATTATCAGAATCACTCACAAAAGTTGGTTATTCAAATTTAATGTTGTAAAGGGAATTATGTATTTAGGACGCGTGGACACTATACTTTGTATTGTATCGTTTTGTCATGCATTTGCACTCTGATAGTGATAGTAGATTTGATGTTTGCTACTTATACAATATCGTATACTCGGTCAACTTTAGACCCCGTTCATAGTTAACATCATTTAATATTAGTAGCCCCTTTACACTAGCGTTTTTCACGCATAAAGTTTGTATGGACGCAGCGTAAACGCAGTAAATATGCAATGCGTGCTGTATAAAATCGGGCTTACTATATAATTTTCGCGAATCAATAATAATCGAATCCATATCACCAAATGCATCGTATCGTTTGAAGTATTTATAAGCCGTTGTGTTGTGCAAGCCTCGTTTATTGTTTTCTCCGTCGCAATTTATAAATCCGTATCCAATATAAATCCTTATCGTCTACTTATTTGTATATCGTCTTTTAAATGCGTCGGTGATTCAGGAATTTACTAAATGTCATGAAGATACTGTTTGGTGACATCAGGTTTGGTTCGGAGAATAATGTGATACATATGCAATTCCGATATAATTCGAGTAGATGTCACTATTAATTACAATGTCGTATTTTCTTTAGGGCTATATTATTTGCTACATAAGAAAACACATGCGTCACATTACAACTATGCCCTGTGTTGCATACTCTTTTTCTTAGAAAACATTCAGTGTAAAGGCGCTCTTAGGAAATTATTATTATTTAACATAAAGGCAATGCAGAAAGGAAAACTTTCAAAAATATTGTAAAGTTTGAAATGTAGTGAAAGTAAGGAATACTGTGATTTTGTATTTAATAAAAATTCATAAACTTTATTTAAATGCATTTTTAATTCCATTACTTCGTAAAACCCTTTATAAAATAAATAGGTCTTCTTCTGAAAGATTCATCTGCTACTGTGCTATATAATACAAATTAATACAATTAAAGAGTAATCGAAAAAAAGTCAAAATAATGTTTTCACACTCATCATTTCAATCATCATTTATGAATGAGTCAATGTAAAAAAAATAACATGACCTAAACTTTAAAATAGATAAATGACATCATGGCGTGATCCCGTTAAAGAAAATAACAGTTACGTGACTCATGTCATGTATCACAACATCCAATCTGCAGATACGTAACTAAAGAAAAATATCTATTTTATACCGATTTGAGCTGAAGATGACGAGGTCGTCAAATCAATCATCATATATATATGGATTGGCGGCCGCAACCCATTTTATTCAACCGCTACAAGCCAAACTAAGAGTCAGACGAAACAAGTTTGAACCTTGCCCTAGGCCATGTCATCGGACAGGATTGGATACCTTGATTAAATACGCGCCTAAATAGAGCAATCCAAATAAACCACCCAAAGAAAACGGCTCATATTCCGAACGGGCTTAAGAGTCACGCACACATTACGCATGTGGGCGTGACTCTAAAGCCCGTTTTAGAGGAATGAACTAGGAATTTCTAGCGGAGCGATCTTCGTGTACATAAAATAGTATTGCTTTTCCACCGAGAAACAGTTCCGAACTAAATAGCCTATTTTTACTCTTTTTGCCCTCTTTGTCATTTTCGCGCGACGCTTTGTTAGTGGAAACAGATGTATGCATTTTTGTATTGCGAGGAAAACGGAGTGATTAAAGGGCTCGCTCCAATCGCGGTGGAAAACCCCCTTAATGTCAGATTGTTTGGGAGCAGTCAGTGTGTGCGTGTGTAGCGACGAGCATATCTACCATATGTAGTAGAAATTTTTGGGCCTCTTCCGTGCAGTTAATACGGTATCAAGGCGTGTATATAATCAAAGATTGGATATGATAAATATAGGAAAACCTATATTCATCATATCCAATCTTTGATCTTTCATAAAATGTGATAGTATAAACCCAACTTCCATGAAAAACAAGCATTTTACAGAGTTTATTATTAATTTGACACAATGTTACTCATATTCTGAAACAAAAACTCAAAACCGGCTTCTCGAATAAGTCCACAAAAAAACCAAGCTAAATTTATCTTTCTATAAATTAGATATTTGTTTCTAAATTTGCTTTAACATATTTGTACTTTAAATTTTGGTTCTCCTTCTCTATTAAACAAATAAAATAAAATTGCCCTCTGCCCACACTTTGCAATTAAATATCATTGCGTGTATTCTTATAAAATTATTACTTATGCAGTTGAATACATTTTTTTTAACAGAAAGAAGTCATTACTTCCGTACAAAATTTAGTTATCGCTGCTATAAAATATACAAAAAACGGCTAAAATCACTGCATAAATAATGTTTTTTTTTAATCGGTTTTCTTCAACAAATTGTTAGGATAAAAAGATGTAATGGTTTGAATAAAAATACAATTAATACTTTGGACATTTATTGACTTATTTTTTTATAACAAAATAATAACATATTTATATTATTATCGTTGTTTTTTATTAACATAACACTTCAAAACAAACATTTATGAATGTACCTACGAGAATTTCATTGATAAACATAGGTCAACTGCGATAAATGATAACAATAGCACATTTTTTGTAGCACATCATAGTTTCTAACTCACAGCTAACTACGCTGTAATTAAATTGTTTTACTAATAGTAACACAAATAAAAGGCAAGAAAAGTTAATAATAAAAATTACTCGCCAATTATTCTTTGTTATACTCTGAGACGAGATTGAGATGTTATATTTCTGTAACTATGCTATCAACAAAAGTTCTTAAAGCATTTACAACGAATCACAATTGTTATATTGTTACATAAATAACCAATATTGACGAAAGACGTAATAAAATGACATTTCTTACTTACACTTGCGCTACGACGTAGCAGCGTAGTACTTACGTAGGCAACTACTAGTAGGTAGGTTTATAATTAACTTCAACCTGTCTACTTTTAATTATCTAGCTTTGTAGGTGAACAAAACTTCCTATACTTTCTTCATCGTTTTCATATTTTACTAAACCAAAACTTAATTAGAACTGAACTACGCTATTTTTTCGCGCGCTCAATGATCCAAATTTTATCAAACTATAGCCTGTTTTAAGCCATACCGATACCTTATTAAAGTACTCATGTCCTTTCCCTAACACCAACGAACCGCTTTTAACAAAACACTTATTTAAATGAGAGCTTGTACTCAGGTTTAGGTCACAGCCAGATTGAACGCGGAGCAGTCTCATAAATCACCTTCATATCTACGAATCAATTGCACGAACGTGCGACACGATTCGGGAAAAACGCAAACCGGTTAAACTTAAAAAGTCTTAATACACTTTCACACACAGGCGAAAATCCACTCTATAGCTAAGGTCACAGATGGCTTTTCGGCCGCCGGCGCAACTGGGCGTATATGAGCCCGGCCGGTTTGTCTATGGGGTGGTAGATCTGGTGACGGGGATCTCCTTTGGTGACGTTGGCTGGGAACTTTGATAAGTCGATGTTCAAGTAGTGCTTGTTCGGCATGGTCATCCGCACCCAGGAGATCTGTTGACAAACAAATTGGCAATCAAGTATTTGTTTTTGTATGTAAGTATTTGTGTTATTCTGGAGTAACATGGAATCCAGTTGAATCATTTGTCGGATATTAATAATATAAAAAAAACTTGTGATTAACAGAACTTAGAAAAGAAGTAAGTATATGCACCATTGAACGCCAAAACCACCCTAGAAAATGTCGAAGTGTATGATGATTAAAATGATTTTATCTTTAATTATTGAAAAACATTAAGTTGATATAAGGAAATTCGTCACAATCGATATTTTATTAATACGCAATTAACATAAATTATTATCGCATGCTTCAGTACACTAGTTCCAGAAACCAGTTAATGTTATTTACTACATATAATTTGTCGTATGAACATGACGTTAGCTTGTTTTTGTTCAAATGTAGATTGCAAATGACGATTACCATATTATTTATGTGCCAATTATCTGTTTTGGAATATTAACCTATTTTCCAAATATAGTTAGTTCTATTATAAATACTTAGTCAAAACCTTAATGATTTATGAGTTTGGCCTTTTATAATATCATGCTTATCGTTAATTAATAGTAAATCATAACACGATTAATAAAGTATATCTACACAATTCGGTAAGTAATAACGAATAACTTCTAAAAATATTAAAAAATCCCAGGTTAGAATGCAACCTTCGCATATCCAGAAAGATGTTTAAAGTTACCTTTGGTCTTGGAAAAAAAAAATCTTAACCGTTTTTCTAAACCATCTACGAAAGAAAAAATTTAATTGACTTTTTCCTAACTAGTTATAAAATGAGATTTTCATAACTGGTTAAATGGGTTCTAGTTTATAAATCAAGAAACAAAACTCAATTATATAACTACGGACATGAAATTTATATCGTCTTTTTTTAACTGGTTAATAAATATTTTCTTTATTCTTAAACAATTCTGAATATGGAAATATTCTTCATTTCATAACGAGTTAGCAAAAAGTGAATAAAAATTCTTTCGTAGATGGTTAAGAAAAGGAACAAAGGCATAAGTATACCTGGGGCCTTACGAGCGATGATAGCAGCTTTTTTCAACACATTTCAAATATTACACGCTATAAAAAAAACTTTGCCGTCAAATTAACGCAGATTTTATAGCTGAAATAGTTTAATCATCTTTCTGAGCATACGAAAGTATAAAGTTGAATCCCCAAAATATGAAGTATTTGATATTTTTTTAAAGATACTTGTAGTTCTGAAGAAAATATTACCAGAAAAAAATTCACGCGGACCAGGCAGCAAACGGGACTCGAACCCGCACCCTTCGCTATCCGGGCGAACACACTGACCATTATGCTACTGCGGCCCTGATGGCCGTGTTGAATTCTTTCTAGCCATTCTTAACCTGCAAGGCAGCGCCTTCTCTTCGCATTGTGGGTAACCCACATGCTTGTAATGACTTAACGAATTATAAAGATAAGAGTACTCGTAAGTATATAAATCATGATACGTAAATGCTCGACGCTTATATTTTATTGGAACATTGTATCATATGAAGTTTGCGCCTCTACGATAAATTAGCACTATTATTATTTTCCTACACAAAGTCACATGATTCCATCCAGTCATCCTTTTGTCATGCACTGATTTATAAATAAATTTATCACATTATTACAGATAATGCAAAATGTATTTCTCGTCGAGTGCTTTAATTTTAGTTTGTGTATATTCAGTCTTCCATAAGCATTATTATTTAACGGTTTTAGTTCTATATAATACACTTTAAACGTAACAGCAATTCAACGTACATAACTTTAATAGATAAATAACCAAACCTTTAAATACTGATATCTAGTGACCTATGAAGGTTAAATAATATTCGTTAAGTTTATAGGAAGTTTCGTCAAATGTATAAATATAAATGCCCCATCTATACGGACATTAATTGTAGGTCTCAATCCACGATAAGTACATATTATGTACTCATCTATATATATAAAACTCAAAGGTGACTGACTGACATGGTGATCTATCAACGCACAGCCCAAACCACTGGACGGATCGGGTTGAAATTTGGCTTGCAGGTAGATGTTATGACGTAGGATTTTGATCAATTCTACCCCCAAGGGGATAAAATAGGGAATGAAAGTTTGTATGAAACTTTGTCAATTTTAAACCGATCGGGCTGAGACTTTGCATGCATAAGAAGAATCATAGATGAATGTGTATAATACAAGCCTGAGAACAAAAACTGTAGTCTACACTTCAGCTCTACACCGAAGCGAAGCGAGGGCGGGCCGCTAGTCTTTATATATACCTGTTTCTCTTGATCACGGCATAACTTGAGAACAACTTTACCAATGTCTAATACAAGCTTTATAGAAGGTTATTATGGCAAAAAAATGCAAATTGCGCGACACTAACTTTAACGGGGACTAAGTCGTGAGGATAGTAGTCACGTAGTGAACTATAAAATGTTTTAGCTAGATTACCCAGATAAGAAATAAAGTTAATTGAGTAAATCGAAATTCGAGTTTTAAATATATATGAAGTAATGTTTCTCACTTAAATAAGTAAGCACTTTCAATATATGAAAATTCTAAAGCATATTATTGATTGTAACTATACTACATTATATGATTAATAGCGAGACATCCGTTTGCGAGTTATCTTAGCACGCGACCTAGCCAGCACGGGCGGGGAACTACGTCTAACCACGCTAACAAATATATTTATTTACCCGTCCAACATCGACATCGACACATAATTGCTGCGATAAATAATTCAACTTCAGACATATCACACTAAAATTAATTTTGCTCTTGTATTAAGTTTAATTGTGTAGACTATGTAGGTACAGTAAATAAATTTACTTTTGAACTTTCAAAAAAAAAATATGGGAAAAATTCCACTAATTCCAGATGTTAGGCTGGATAAGAACCAGCGCCTTCCGCTGTCCGGACGGACTCAATAACCGCTGAGCTTCATAAAAATATGTTTTATGATCCTTAATGAAGGATATCTTCAAGGCTTTACATATGTTTATTATAGGATGAAAGAGCCTGGACGAGTCGCATTATTTCAATTTGATTGAAAGATTAATTATCAACAAACTTTTTTATAAAAAACTTTTAGCTTCCCAACCGTATGTAAGCGGTGCAGTCTTACCTCCGGTACTTTCTCCAGAACTACTTTTTGAGCTTGGTACAGCGTGTGTTGGACTGAAGGTGAGTACACGCCGGTGTCCGGTGGGCCAGCGAACTTGTCCAAGATGGCTTCCTTCACGGTCAGCCACGCGTTGTCGAAGTTGGCTGTGCGCATGCTGTCGTAAGTCCATTCAGCTTCGACTACCGTACTAAATAGAGAAAAAGGAATATTAAAAACAAAAAATATTAATGTAAGAGACTAACAGGTAAATGCTTGATAACTGAGAATACCATTTCTTTTTACGAGTTTTTGTTAGTTCTATTTTGATCGATTAATAAAAAGCTAAACTGGCAAACCACCCAGGAAGGCTTTGCAAGTGAAAAAAAAAAGATTTTTTTAAATGTGAAAAAATATAGATGATGTCAATCAGGAAGCTTTTTACTGGCGAAAGGTTTTCAAAATCTAAATTAAAGTAAGAAGTACTAGGTACATAATATGATAAATTAAAAAAATAAAAAACACTACTAATACATTTTATTTACCTGAAAATCCTCTCTGCTGCATCTGGGAGAGTTGTGTACTCGTCCTGTACAAAGTCTACGAACGCGGACTGTGTCGTTTTCAGTACCCTTAAACCGCTCAGTCCCGACTTCACTGCCACAGCCTCTGTACAAACAAACAAAAAAAAATCAAAATTTGATATCACGAATCTATTTATGCAAGTGGTAGTTTAACAAATAAAGTTCACTTGGGCACACTTCCACCGAAATTGTAAAATTAAAGTTACCTATATCGAAATCATCTCTATATTTCACTTTGAACACTTTAATATGGTGTGAAGTAAATTTTATTTAAGAATGTTGGTCAAAGTGGCCTTTACCTTAGAAATTATTATGAAAATTAACATCAATGTTACACAATAAAACATCACATTCGCAGCAGCATAATGAAAGTTAAATATCAAACTAATACTCAAAAATGCAAATTTAATTATCACTCCCAAAGCCTCACTTCAACAATGTCTCAATATCCATTCAACGCGAATGCAACAGTCTGTTGGCAGGTTTTTTTATTATTTGCACGGGATAAATAATTATAATAAATAATATAATAGTTGGCACATTCTACGTTTTTCGTTCACTCTCTGTCTAGCACGGGAGACAATTTCAATATCAGAGGTATTATAGTTAATATCTAAAGTACAAAATTTATTAATCCAAAGAAAATTTTACTAGAAAATCCACGTGGCAGTCCAGGCTGCAGACAGGACTCGAACACTCGAATTTTTTTCTAGTAAAATTTTCCTTTAAATTTGAACATCTAGCAGGTAAATACTTAAAAAATGAAATATAATACACTATTTTTTTTGTCATGTAGATCTGCCATATTTTATATGGTCTCAAAAATTGTTTTTGCTACAAAAAACCGATAAATTTTTATTGATAACGCCAACGACAAAGTTTAAAAATTTACAATAAAACTTAGAAATTTAATATCGTAAGCTTGTGTATCAAATATTTAAATAGTCGTATGCAATTGACCAGCTTGGATTAATTTCAACAGAAAACAAATAAGTACTTATGTCAAATGCTAACTTTACTTCTACGAAAGTAAAAGCTTTAGCATCTAAGCTAAGGTGTTATCGAGTGAATACGTTTTAAAACAAATTAAATTATTTGTCATCCCCGATTTTTTGTTCTGAAACCTCTTTGTTGCAGCTTCCTTCGATCTGTTTTTCGTAAGAAAGATTGATTTAACTCTAAAATTGTGATAAAAATCTACTTATATTTCATTAAATTTTAAACATGACAAATTTTTCAATTTCCCTTTCTTTCGCTAGAAAATATACCTATTTTTAAATATGCGTGCTTTAAAACCTACTCATAACTGACACAACCAAAAGCCACATTAAACGTCAAACTCACCGTGACGAGTTTGAGACACTTCACACCATCTGGTAGCTGTAGGGGAGAACACGAAGGCGTGGTTGTGCGGCACGCCAGACTGCAGTCGCTCCCAGGGGTACTCGACCACGCGGCACTTGGCAGCAACCACTTGCTTGTACATATACAGGAAGTGGTTAACAACAACGGCACCGAACTCTTCGGGGGTCTTCACACCATGCTTCTTGGCTAGTAAATAAATGGTGTTCTTCTGCGAGTCGGTAGCGACTACTTCTTTGTTGTCACCGAGCACGTACGCAGTTTCTGAGATCAGTTTCAGTTCTGTGGAGACCTCGAACTCCCTGATGGTGTGGTAGTCGTTGTCACGGTGTACGTGGAGTAGCTTGACACTGCTCTTGCCATAGCCATGGTCGCTGAGCTCGAACCTCCCGCCGGTGTCGGTGGCGGCTGTAGGTGCCATAACAGCTGTTTGAGGTCTCTCCGCGTTATCAACACCACTCGTGTTTGAGGGCTTAGCGTAAATTCTGCAATATAACAAAATATTATCAAATTATCGTATCTTTTTAATACTGATTGCTAACGAGATCAGGTTCATCACTAACCACTTTTGAGAAAAATGATGTTAAGTCTTTCTGTAACGTTAAGAACACCGCATCACTTAACTCAAAATTTTACGGAACCATATTTTAATAAAAGTGAAAAAAATAGAAAAACAATCAAATGTCACATATTCTCATTATTTAACTATAGATACTGATTTTTCGGAAAAAAAACTCATCTTTTACCTATTGGTGCTAGTCCACGGCATTTTAAACTTTGAAATAATTACTTATTTTTTAAATCGTGTTAAGAACAGCGTCTGCGCATCGAAAACAGACCAAACAATATGCGTTATCGTATCGGGAACCGTTACTTATAAGGGTGCTCTGTGACCCCCGTTATCGGGGCTGAGCACGCGCCTCCCACTGCTTAAGCTTGTCAAATAAACACTACATACCGACAAATGATATTTGCAATATCATTTATCTTGTGTCATGGGCCATTATTGAACAGTACTTTCTACTGCTAATGAGTTTAATTTTGGAGAAATGCTAGGTATGTACATCTTCTATGACACTCATATTAAAAATGATATAATTAACCTCCAAAACTCATCATCTCTCACAGCAATTAAAAACATAATATGTATTATCTATACACAGCAAATGTATTGTGTTGAATTGTTATTCTTGGTTTGTGGGTTCCGTCTACAGCAATATAGCAAGGCGTAGTATGGGCTTAACCATATTTAATACGTTACAGTTCTTACAGCACTTTGAGGTACAACGGGCGGCAGACTGCAATCGCAGGTGACACTGTGGCCAGCGACTGCGGTCGTGGTTACTTTTCCAAGCACGACTGCACAATGCATAGAACCACAGAACAGAAAAAAAGTAGATATAATATTTTAGAACCATGCCTTTATGTGGCCGGTGTGTCATCGTACACAACGCTCGCTCGCTGCGCTGCAAATGCACACTCATATAGTTTGATCCAGTAATAAAAGCTATAAATAAATAAATATTTCCCACATTCACACCGATTAGCTTGTGTTACGACAATGTATACGATGCTCAGACCCGTCTTTCCCATTGGGCACTTTGGGCAAGTGCCCATAGCCCCGCGATCGATCGGGGGGCCCTCAGATCATATAAAAAGTCCCTAATCCTGTTAAATCACCATACAGAAGTCATAGGGGCTCCATTATCCTAATATGCCCAGGGCCTCCAATAGGTCAAAGACGGCACTGACGATGCTAGGGTAACGGATAGAAAACATAATATGTATCACTATACATATACATATAAGTATATTTTATACAGAAATACATATAAACATCCATGACTAAGGTACAAATGCTCGTATACTAACATTTGCCTCCACTGAGGTTGAACCTCCTGAGTGGTGACACCATGAAACCCGGCCATATACCACTCGGTCACGGAAGTCGTCTATATCCACCTATATTTAATATATGGCACGTGATTTCTAACGACCAGTTTCAATAATCAACCTCCAATATAAAAAATCTTACCAAAAAAAAAACTGCTGAAAAAATCTGAAAAGCAGAAAATAATATTTAGTCAAATTAATATTTGGAGTCGGTGCCATGCATGTCTGATAGATCTGAGTTCCTATTTACTACTTGAGTTTGCATCGCGAAAAAGTTTTATTATTTTTTGCTGTTCAGTTTTTTGTGCGGTGTATTTTTTTTGGAATATAGTTTTCATTTTATGCATATATGTTTTATATATTTTGCAGCTTTTATTTTGTTGTTCTTTCACCCCTATTTCACCATACTTAGGAAAGGGTATTTGTTTCCAAAGGAGAATGCCCATTTAGTAAGGAGACTTGGGCCCCTTTGAAAAATAGTTGTGCCCTGAAGTTTGTTGTCGGAGGTTGTAGGAAAAATACGCTATATTCACATTCAAAAGGAATTTCCAATTTAGTCACCCTGGTTCACGAGAAATAATTTATTTTCTGTTGTGGAAATTGAGGTTATAAAATAGCTTGACATTAACATTTTCTCCATGCTTTTCTTAACTAGGTCCTATCTACATCACTATATTGATATAAACTTGCATAATATATTATAATGTATAAAAGCACAATAATGTTTCAGTGAGCTATCAGGCAGCCGGTTAGGGCCGAAGCTAGGTGGTGGTGGTGCATTATGGGCTTTAGGGGGCAATGCCAATACCAAAACCCTACCTTAAAAAATAGCATCGACTTAATACGATTAAACTAATTCGGGGGGGAGGGAGGGGTAATCCTGCTTATGCCATTGAGTAACTCGAATGACAAAAATCATTTGAGTACCAATGAAGATAAAAATCGAGTGATTTTCTACCATATTTATGTCTCTTACCGGTACATTGCAATTTACTATTTATATAATCTGATAAAAATCCGAATTTACTTTTAGCGAACATCACGAGTTTAATATCGATTAATCAATTAAGTTTAATAATACCTGGCAACATTATACCCATCGAGAAATACGTCACCAACCAAGCCATAAATATAAAAAAAAAAATTTCAAGCGGAAATTGGGCAAATATCTAATTAATTATAACTTAATACCCAGGGTGAAAAAAAATACGATATAAATGTCACCAGCATCAAAATATAAATTCGATTTTTAGGTACATATTTGAATGAGGCACAAGAAACCTCAAAAGGGGCCCATGATTGGGCATTCTCCTTTATCTAGGACTAACTTTGAGGTCCAAGAAAAACCGACCAGTACGGTACCGGATATATTATTGTGGTTCTTAAAAATAGCTTTTTTTCAATTCAAGGTTTTACGCGATATAAGCAAGCAATTACTTCATCAAAGTCACTTTTAATGAATTCTCTTAAAGAATTTTTTTCTGATACTTAAGTTGAACAACTATTACTCTTAAATTTCATGAAAATGTTTTTTTCTTCAGAATTACTAAGTCAATAGTTTAGTTTTTAGAGGGTTGAGTCCCCCAACTATTCGAACAAAAATTTGCACTTTAAAGTTTAATATTTCAACGATACCTTACACCCACATGATGAGGTAGACGATGAAAAAGAAATCACGCCCACTTTACATGTAGGAAGCTACCCTAAAAAAAGTTTTTTTTTTTTCAAATTTATATGGGACCAACTTTGGAGTATACCCTTTCCAATAAAAAAGAATAGAACAATGCCCACTTTCCATACATTTGAAAACCTGATAGTGAAAGTTAATGTATAATAAAGTATACTGGAAAGATTACGTATAAATTTAGAAAATAATATCCTATAGTAATTTTTACGATTAAAACGCAGGACGAAAAAAGTTTTTTAGATTACATATATTTATTGCTCTGGCAACACTGAAGTGTTCAGATGTTTCTGCATGATCTGCAGTTTAATTTGTTAAATTGTATTCACGGCAAATTACATAAAAAGAGAATATTTAATTATAAGTTAAATGACAAATGCAGTGCAGTTATTTGTGAATTGATTACTTTATATTTACAAGAAAATTGGAGACAACGTTCTTATCTGCCAAACGGATATGAATAACCAAACAACAATTGTGAAGAATATTTTGTCCCAAGAGTGAAATAAGCAATTTATTTTGAGCAACATCAGGTGGATTGTATGAAAACTCATCTTACAGCGATCCTACATTATTTTATTTAATATTAAACAAAATACCAAAGCATTCTAAATAACGTACTCTGTGCAGAACGGGTTGACAACATGACCTTCATGGTTGTCAACTTACTTCTTTAGTCATTGGTTGTCAAACCCTGTCATATGTCAAAGAAATCCGTTTTACAAATCGTTCACTTGTACTGCGCGAGCGGTGAAGATACTAGTGCGGTGGACCGAGTTACTTTACGTTTGCCCGCATTTTGGCCGGAAGATCCCGAAATTTGGTTTGCGCAGGTTGAAGCTCAGTTCGCGTGCACGGGAATAAAAGGTGATAGTACGAAATTTTTTCAAGTGATTCGTGAGTTAGATCAACGTAGCGCACGGGAGGTTCGGGACATAATTACAAACCCACCGTCGACCGGCAAGTACGAGAAATTAAAACAGGAACTTATTAGTCGTCTTTCGGTTTCCCGGGAAAATCGAATGCGTCAATTACTTACTCATGAGGAGTTAGGTGATCGCAAGCCGTCGCAATTTTTGCGCCACCTTAGAGCTTTAGCAGGGAATGGTGTTAGTGACGATTTTTTACGCAGCTTGTGGTCAGGTCGCCTTCCAACGCATATTCAAGTTATTATTGCGTCACAAAAAGCTACTTGTCTCGATGAGGTTGCCGTTCTTGCTGATCAAATTTATGACGTTGTTCCTACCCCCAATCAAGTTGCTAGTACTTCATCGAATAGTATGGAAGGAATGTTTCAACGGTTAGAGGAGATGATTTCGTCACGCATTAAGACAGAGTTAAGCCACCAGTTGTCCCAATTGAATATAGATACAGGGCATGGTCGTCAGTCGTTCCGGAGGCGGTCTAGTAGGTCAAGGTCAAGGAGTAGATCTAGAAGCGCCGGACCAGGTCAGATTAGGAAGTCGGGTATGTGTTGGTACCACTACAAATTTGCTGAAAAGGCTAGTAAATGTATCCATCCTTGCAATTATAAGGAAAACTCGCGAGACTCTCAGTAATGGCGACAGCCGACTGTCATGCAACTACCCGTCGCCCATTTGTTACTGACAAAGAAAGCAAAATTCAATATTTAATCGACACTGGCTCCGATCTTTGTGTTTTGCCTCGTAGATTTTTACGTGCATGTGTAACACCTACTGATTACAGCCTCATAGCAGCCAACGGTTCCAGCATCCGTACTTACGGATTGATGAAGATGCGTCTTAACCTGGGACTTCGCCGCGACTTCTCGTGGAATTTCGTAGTAGCTGATGTGGACAAGCCTATCATAGGGGCGGACTTCATCGCTCATTATGGATTGCTGGTCGATTGTAAGAATGGTCGTTTATTAGATAGTCTAACTACCCTCTCAACGGCTGTTACGAGTTAACCCTGTCAGCTGCATAGTATCAAGGCGATCGCGGGTAAAAGTGAGTACCACACTTTATTAGCTAGATTCCCATCGCTGACAAAGCCGCCAGGTGTATTCCGCGAAGTCAAGCATAATACGGTGCACTATATTCGCACTACGCCTACACCCCCAGTTTATTGCAGGCCTCGACGTTTGGCGCCAGATCGCTTGAAAATAGCCAAGGAACAATTTGAGGAGATGCTTCGAGATGGTACAGCTCGACGTTCTGACTCACCCTGAG